CATATTCAATTGGTATTCCAAATACAGATACAACTAGGATTTCAACTATAACTCTAATCAAGATCTTCCTACCTCTATATAAATGGGACCAAACTTCTACTCAGGTATGCAATATCTACGCAACATCTATGCAATCAATACAATATCTCATTCAATCACAACTACTTATTTTTTGTAGTTTATTTAATAATTATATTCATATAGATATATATTTAAATTAGCTAATGGTTGTTTACTAAGTCTTTTCTCACAAAAGAACTATATTAAGTCATTAAGGATGAGGATTCATATATAGTTTAAATTTTTAATATTCAAGAAAAGATACTTATTTGTAAATACACATGAATGTCTATTTGTAAAATAAAATATCCAACAAATAAAATGCATTCATTGTCAAAATGCTAGTTCAAATATTTTTGTTTTCAGATGAAAAATATATTTTTTTTCTATGTGAATTAGAAATTCAAATTATATATTATAAAAATCATATGTTCAAAAATCATATATGATTGTCTCATGTAAAACATTTTCAATATCAAGGCAAACACTGAGTGCATTATTCGATTTGGACAAAATTTCAAGTTTGTCTTTTTTCAGAACTTAACAAAAAAAAAAAAAAAGCAAATCAAAAACAAATTTCGCAGTTTGTCTTTTTTCAGAACTTAACAAAAAAAAAAAAAATAAAGCAATCAAAAGTATTATCTAAGCAAAGTGTGTGAGAAATGCTCATAGAAAAAACACAAAAAAAAAAAAAAAAAAAAACAAAAAAAAAAAAAAAAAAAAAAAAACTTAAAATGTAATTTTCAGCTAATTAAGTAACATTTTTAATATTAACATTAACATTTTTTGTATATATAGAGAGAGAGTGAACTTAAAATACATATACAGAGAGAGAAGAAATTAAAAAATTAATAAAAAAAAGTAGTGGTTGACTTTTTTTTTTTAACTTTTTATTTTGTTTTTGTCCTTTTAGCAGCAGCCATTAAAAGATCCCATCTTTTTCTAGTGATTGACATTTTTGAAAAAGAAATTATAGTCTTGGGACCCCACCTTTCAGATAAATAATTTACACTGTTAGAACCAAAAATTTGCAAATAAAAAAATCACTTATTATTTAACATTTAAAGATAATAAAAGTAATCTAATATGCGCGTCTCAAGACATAATTTAATAATAAATTCACATAATCTGTCAATAAATTCAAATTCAAATCATATCTTTCAATACTCAAAACAAACCCAGTTGCCAATTAAAATCAACTTTTGAAATTAATGCTTCACATTTTGATAATACAATTTTCTTAAGGAAAAACATCACAAAACAAAATAGTTAAAGTTATATTTTTATTTTGATAGAACAAAGTAAAGTTAAATTATTTTCAAGTAATTGAGAAAAAAAAAGTGATCGAAACAAAAAAAAAATTAGATCGATAACTTTCAGATGTTATGAAATTAATAAAAATTAATGCAATTAAGATTTTAGATTTAAATTGTATGGATTTATCTTTTCATTTGTTTGATACAGAGACCAAATTCATAAAGTTAGAAGTTATTCACATAGCGAAAATTCAACCAAATTGAATTATTTTTAGTTTTTGGTTATAACTTTAGTTTTCAATTTTTTATAATTTTGATTTTCGATCTTCCCATTGGTTATTGTAAAATAATTATTTTCTTAGTAAAACTGTATCATTTGACCAAATTAATGTGAACCAAGTTTAAACTACCGACTCAATCTAATTTCCAAACTTGTTTTAATACAATTCAATTTCAACAAAAAGCTAAATTTGATTTTTGGTGTTTTTGGTTCGGGTTGGATTTACACACCCCTAATTATTATTGTAGCAACAAAAGAGACAGTTTACAAGTCCTCCATTCAATGAAATAAGGATTTAACAAAACCTTCAAAATAAGAAATTTTGGTAAATAAGTAATTTTGAACAATTTATTTATTTTTATTCCATTTTTATGATATTAAATGATAATAAAATGTAATGTAACTAAACCTATTTTTAGTGCATTTCAGCTAGGTTACGTTATACTTAATCAATATATTTTAAATGTATTATTTATATTATATTCATTTACTAATGAAATTAATCCTTCTAGTAATAATGAATTTTTTTTCCATCAACCAAAATTCAGTTCAATTTATTGGTTTAAAATGAGATTTTCTTAATCATATTTTCCTAAAAAAATTATGAGAATAATTTTATAATATAAAATAATTATGATGTATTAATTATTAATATTAAATATAAACAGCTAAAATAAAGATTAGGTTAAAAAAAAACTAGATTATATTTTGAACAAACCATGTGGAAATTTAATTACCAATGAGGACCCACTAACGTAAGCTCCACCAAAGGCTTATCTCATATGATTGGACCCACAGCCGCACAGATGTGAGGATGATGATCATGGCTTTCATGCCTGGGCCCCATTTATGTACGGACAAGGTGGACCCGATTCCTAGAGGCCCAATTGACACTTTTGAACCACCTGCACTGCACACAACAACACTGCCTTGTGATTGCATACAGCATAATATATTCAGCATATTTTAAATCACTTATTTTTTAACTGGGCCTTCATTTGTTAATTTTCATTTTTTTATGATTTTTTTTAAAATATTGATGCATTTACACTTAATAAAGAAGTATAAATATACACACACTACAAAAGTTGAACAAGAAAATATTTCTTATAAAGCCATGTCAACAGCCACGTCAACAGCCATGTCATGGAGGACGGAATTAGGCTCTAAAAATTAAAGCGTTAATTTTTTTTTAAAAATTGTAACTAATCATTTAAAATGCAAATTTATTGTTATTATTAATCTTGCCATTATAATTATAACTCATCATTTTTAACGTTAAATTTTCAATCGATTTAGTTGCAATTTAATCAGTATTTGTTAGTATTCATTATTATTATATCTCATCATCTTTTTTTTTTAAACATTAAAATAGGTAAATATATTTTAGTTTTTAATAATTAAAATTTATGAATTTTAATAAAATTAAACTTCTATTATTTAGTATTATTATTTTCAAATTGTGTTCTATATGTTTTAAGGACTCACGAGTTTGAATTTTTTTTATAAAAAAAAAATAGAAACCTTCACATGGAGCCTAGTATTTTAATTCACATTTGAACATGTGCTTGAATAGTTAATTATTATTTATCTACTTAAATACTATGATATTTAAAGGTCCACAAAATTGTATAATCTATAGGTCTTCTACGAAGACGAAAACTAGGATTATTCCATTATAATAAATTGCAATTTGCAACATCTTCTTTCAATATTTTATTCCATAATTTCTAGATATGTGTGTATATATATATAAGAAAATAATTGTAATAAATAATATATCTCTACCAAATTTACCATTCAACCAGTCTAAAACTATCCAAGAAAATAATTATAATTTCCTTTCATTTTCTGCTAATTCAAACATTTAAAAAAGAAAATTAAGTGAATGGTATCCCGAATATTTGAAATTGGTCCATCATCGGTATATGATGGCCTGATTAACCTCTTAGATCAAATCAAACTCTTCAATTTTATACTTACCTAATATTTTTCTTAAGAATTGCAGATTCAGAGAGAATGAAAATTAGGGATTGCTATATTCAATTTGTGAAGGGAGATAAACCCTTAATTAGAACTTATGTCTATATATATATATAGGGAACATTAAAACCCTTAAATTAGAACTTATGTCTATATATAATATACTATATTTATATATATATAATCAACGGTCCACATGGGAAGATGAATCAATATGTTTTTTTTTTAAAATTTAATTTGGCTGTTGAGTGAGTGCAAATTGAAAATTTTATAGTTTTAAAATATAAATACTCCTATTGAGTCAAACTTTCTGGAGAATAATGTAAATTATTTAATACTTTGTGTCAATATGTAATACTTAGATAGATGGTCAAGTCAGCTTTATCATAGCATCAATTCTAGTAATTATTATAGTAAGTTTATTTTTTTTTTTTTTTTTTTCCAAACAATTTTAATACGCATGTTTCTTTCTGTAATGCATTGAAAGAAGTATTTAAACATTAGGAGGGAGACGTCTTGAAAGACACAATATTCCCAATGACGAGGAAAAATATGTTTCATTTTTTTACCCAATGACTACCTTTGAATGATTTGTACTTTTATTGTGGAAAAAAAAAAAGGTTCATACAATTTTGGAAGCTTATCCATTCGCTTTCTTCACATTAAATCTATAGTATTGGAAGTATTAAATGCAACTACAATTGGAAAATTAAGCTCCTCTATAGCATGAAAAATCTGAAGAAAAATAGTTTTCATCAATATTTGGGTCCATTAGTGGTAATTATTAATCCAAAAATACCAAATTCCCACTAGGATTGCCCCTAAGTATAAAAATTGCAGATTTCAGAGCATTAATTGCAATCGTGTAATTTAAATAGGAAAAGTCTTATAAATTCAATATTGAACTGAGCATTGACAAAATAAGGAAAACTTTCCTGATATAGTGTTCTTCTCTTATTTCTTATAGCTTTTTTTTTTTTTTTTTTTTTTTTTTCCAAACAATTTTAAAGATGTTTTCTTCTAGTAATGCATTGAAGAAGTATTAAATTAAGAGCGTTGAAGCCAAATTCCATTTGACGAGGAAAATATGTTTCATTTTTACCAATTGACTAACCTTTAGAATGATTTGTACTTTTATTGTTGGAAAAAAAAAAAGGTTCAACAATTTGAAGCTTATCCATTCTGCTTCTTCACATTAAATTCTATAGATATGGAAGTATAATTGCAACTAAATTGAATTAGCCCTCTATAGCATGAAAAAATCTGAAGAAAAGTCACAATATTTTGTCCATTTATGGTAATATTATCCAAAAACCAAATCCACTAGGATTGCCTAGTTAAAAATTGCAGATTTCAAGCATTAATTGCAATTAATTAATAGGAAAAGTCTTATAAATTTCAATATTGAACTGAGCAGTTGACAAAATAAGAAAACTTTCCTAATAGTGTTCTTCTCCTTTTTCTTATAGCTTTAGAAGCAAAAACTAAAATGGTAGCTGAAGCTGAACAAGTGAGCATTCTAATGGTAACAATGGCCTTACAGGGCCATATGAACCCAATGTTGAGCTTAGCAAAACGCCTCGTTTCAAAAGGTATTCACATTACTATTGCTATTAATGATGTTGCTCGCCACCGAATGCTAAAGTCAAAAGCCTCAACTGCTTTGTCTACCACCACCACAGACACCACTTCTAAACCTCCTGGAATTGATCTTGTTTTCTACTCCGATGGGCTTAGCCCGGAATTTGATCGCGATAGCGATGTCGATTTGACTCTAAAATCCTTACGTACTGTAGGATCTGAAAACCTGTCAAATATCATAACCAATTCAGATAAAAAATTTTCTTGCATTATTTGTAATCCATTCATGCCATGGATGCCTGATATTGCTGAAAAACATGGTATCCCTTGTGCAGTACTTTGGATTCAAGCTTGTCTTGTCTACTCTATTTACTATCATTTTTTTAAATATGCTAATTCCTTTCCTTCATTAGAAAACCCTAACGAGTCCATAGAATTGCCTGGATTGCCTGTTTTACAGGTAAAAGATCTTCCTTCCTTTATATTCCCATCAAGTCCTGAAATATTCAAAAAAATTGTGTCAGAGTTTCTTCAAAAATTAGATAAAGTGCAATGGGTTTTGGTAAATTCTTTTACTGAACTTGAAGAAGAGACAGTTAAGTCCATGAATTGCTATCTCCATCATATTTTTCCTATTGGTCCATTGGTTTCCCCATTTTTATTTCAAAAACAAGAAGAAAATATTATTTCCAATATTGATATGTGGAATTCTAATGATAATGCGTGCATAGAATGGCTTGATAAAAGACCACCTTCTTCTGTCATCTATATTTCATTTGGAACCATTACTTTGTTATCTCAAACGCAAATGGAAAACTTGGCAATTGCATTAGAGAATAGTCAGAAACCATTTCTTTGGGTTATTAAGGCAAAAGAAAACTGTTTTGATCATGAAAACAGAGGAAGTGAATTGTTTCTTAGGTTCTTAGAGGAAACAAAGGATAGGGGGATGGTGGTTACATGGTGTCCTCAAGATAAGGTTTTGATGCACAAAGCTATTGGTTGCTTCTTTACGCATTGTGGATGGAATTCATCATTGGAGGCTGTGGTGGCTGGAGTGCCAGTTATTGCTTATCCGGGATGGACTGATCAACCAACAGTTGCTAAGTTGTTGGTTGATGTTCTAAAGATTGGAGTTCGGATTAAAGTTGAAGAAGAAGGTGGTGAGGTGGTAGCAAGCGCAGATGAAATAAAAAGATCTATTCTGGAGATTACCGATGGAGAAAAAGCGGAAGAGATTAAGAAAAATGTTGTGGAGTTGAGAGAGAGAGCTAAAAAAGTAGTGGCGGATGGTGGTTCTTCTAATGAAAATCTTGATCTTTTTATTAAAAAGATCACTTTGAATTCTTCGTGCTTCCTGAAAACTTAATAATGTATATCTAATGCATATATATATCAAGATTATGAATGAATGATGGTAGTCATTATGGCGGAAAAAGGCTCAAAGTTCCTCCAACTGAAATGTATTGTACTGCTACTTGTTTGATAATAAGATCGTAGTTGTAATGTGTCTTGTGTCAATGAATCTACCACCATGATGTAATACTCATAAGAGAATGATTTGTCAAACCCGGTTTATAACTTTATTTATAAAATAAATAAATGAAAATTTTTTTTTATTAATCAAGGCACGTATATGACCTGATAATAGATTTAGATTTAAATCATTTATCTCAATATTCAAAAAGAAAACATTTTTTTAAATGCAGATATTTGTGAATAAAAAAAATAAAATGGAAATAATTTTAAAAATCTTTATTTTTATTAATTTGCACTACAAATAACCTATAGATCACTATAGATAAATGTTATCCTAATTCTAAAATGAATTATACAGTAAAACCATTATTCTGAAAATTTGACCGAACTAATCGGTTTGACTTGATTAATCGGGAACCAAACTATGGCCAAATTCAGATTGGATAATAAAAATGAAAGCTTCAAAAACTGAAGTGAACCAATGAAAATGGGATAAAAACTCAACTGAAAACTAAGTGAGAACGGACGGATCAGATCAGCAATTAATATACTTTGATTTAAAATATGAGTTCTTTTTCAAAATATGGACCTCTTAAAAATCTGGACTTTTAATTTTTTAAATTTTGAACCTCTTTATTTTTAAATCCAAAATCTTATTTTATTAATTAAAACAACTAAATTACTCGATCTCAAAAACTATTGTGAAAAATAATAATATGTTTTATGGTAATTAATTTTTTTTTTTATTATTAAATTTAGTATTTTTTATTCTTTTTCTTTAATATTATTTACTAACTTTTTATTCTTTTTGTAAAAACCAAATTCGAATCTTTTTATTTTTGGTTAATATCAAAGTTATATTTCTAACATATATTTTCAATTATATTAAATAATTAAATCTATGCCTTCTATCAAACCATTCCCACCCTTTCAAAAGAAAAAGAAAACCATTCCCACAAAAATATTTGACAGGTCCCACGTGTGAAACTCTCTTCAAACCCCCATAAACTCTATAACCAAGTCAACGTCTCTCCCTGTTTCATTCAAGAAAGCAAAAGAAAGAGAGGTATCCACTGTTCTCGGCACTGAACCAGAGAATCTTGATTTCAAGGAAGACATTAACAATGAAACAAGAAACGTTAACATTAGTACTAGTGAATCTTGCTGGGATTATGCAGAGAGCCGATGAGTCATTATTGCCAGGAGTTTATAAAGAAGTCGGCGCTGATTTACATATGGACCCAACTGGGTTAGGTTCACTTACTCTGTTTAGATCTATAGTTCAGTCTTTTTGTTACCCATTAGCAGCTTATCTTGCTTTACGTCATAACCGTACCCATGTTATTGCTCTTGGTGCATTTCTTTGGGCTACTGCCACCTTTCTTGTTGCTATATCCTCCACATTTTTACAGGTCCCTTTTTTACTCTGTTTCTTTCTTTTTGATAACATTTTATGGTAGTTTTGAAGTCTTTAATATTGTTATTGCAATTTTGAGTTACCCATTTTGTGGGTTTTGTTGATGCTGTTGTATTTTAGAATTTACTGCTTTGGGTTATATGGATAGATCCGTAAAGTCAAATTAAAAATGCACTTCTTGGGAAAATGGAATTTAGTATCTGAGAATTTGTAGTTAATATAGAGCTTGCAGAATATTTAAGTGGTGATTTTTGTAAGATTTGGCCATTTGGTTTTTCGGGTCATTTTCTGGAAAAAGGTTAATATTTAAATTTGTTGGTCATTTTCTGATTCTATAACAGTCTGCAGAAGATTGAATGGTGATAGGCAGAAGGCTGCTTTTTGTATTTCTCTATATTTCTGGTACTTGGTGTGAAAAAGTAAAATTTTGGATTACATAATTGGATGGCCTTCTACTTTCACTGAAACATTTCAAAGGTTAAATATTTACTGAATTTATAAGGCACTATGTGGTTTATCGTGGGATGGATGCAAGTTCCTGATAGGATTTTAAAATCTATGCTCATAAAAAGAACAGTAGCCAAAAAAGCTTTATGGAATTTGCTTCTTCAAGTATCTAAGGATATGCATTTTTTTTTTAACTTATAAGCATTGCTTTAAACTTTTTGTGAAAGGTGACTTTGTAAATAAATGAAATGGAAATCTGAATCACGTCGTCTACAGCTTAGGCTTAGAATTGAAGATTATATTATGCACGTGTTTGAAGATTATATTATGGCGCTCAAAACGTCAAATGCTAATGATGGACCTGGAAATTTTTTGCGAAGAAGCACTGACAAGCTTAACTTCACCAAATCTGAAGAGATTCTGATATGATCTTGAAGAAAGAAATAGGATATTTACATGTATAGTATACCATTTTTATGGTTTCTACCTCCTGGAAAGATTGGCATTGTCACTGAAATATTTTTGCATTTGGTTAAATAGGTGGCAGTTTCAAGAGGTCTCAATGGGATTGGACTTGCCATAGTCATACCTGCAATTCAGTCCCTTGTCGCTGATTCAACTAAAGAAGGCAATCGTGGTACGGCATTTGGATGGCTGCAGCTAACAGGAAATATTGGCTCCATTGTTGGAGGGCTTTGTTCTGTACTGATAGCTACAACATCATTTATGGGAATACCTGGTTGGAGAATTGCTTTCCATTTAGTTGGAATAATAAGCGTGGTAGTTGGTATTTTGATACGCCTCTTTGCCAATGACCCGCGCTTCTCCGAGACTGATAAAATTTCTAAAGATGAAACTTTTAAGTCTTATATTTCAGAATTTAATGATCTGATCAAAGAAGCAAAGCTGGTTATGAAAATACCATCTTTCCAGATACTTGTAGCTCAAGGTGTCTTTGGATCATTCCCTTGGTCAGCTTTATCATTTACTCCTATGTGGCTAGAACTTATTGGCTTCTCCCATGAAAAAACTGCATTCCTTATGACTCTTTTTACAATTGGCGGTTGTCTTGGTTCTTTATTTGGAGGTATTATGGGAGATATCCTTGCTAACCACTACCCTAATTCTGGGAGAATTATCCTGTCACAGATAAGCGCCGGGTCAACCATTCCCTTAGCAGCAGTTTTGCTTCTGGTATTGCCTTATGATCCATCCACCAGCTTCATACATGGTTTGGTCTTGTTCATAATGGGTTTCTGCACATCTTGGAATGCTCCTGCTACAAACAAGTTTGTATTTCTAATTCACATTATCCTTTCAACCCTTGTGTTCATAAACTAATAGCTCGTTGACATGTTTGGTTGAAGGAGTAAAGCATATATATAACAAATCATGGCTTCATCATCTAGGTGAGAACAGTATTGCTCATTACATAGAGCTAAAGTTCTGTAGTTTTAATTAGTGAAAGGAACAAATCAAGAACATCCAATTGAATAAGATACCCATTAGTTTACTCAGATGAGTCGAAGAACCCAAGATAATTTTTTTTTTCCTTGTTTGCATAGTGCTATAAGTGATCCTCAAGACCTCATGTGAAAAGAGATGACTTTTAGTAAATGGGTCATAAGGTGTAGTGCCATGTGTAATTAATTTTCAATTTTCAGATCACAATATTTTCAAGGGAAGGCACAGTTTCACTTGTGGAAAGAAACCCCCTTCGAGTCATTCAAATACCTAAGTGTCGACCAAATTCTGTGGATTGCAAGTTTACCATTTGGATTTAATCCATTCGGCTACTGCAGTAATGTTTTTCTTTCTTCGTGTTTTTTTTTTTTATTTTTTTGTTTATATGAGGATCCTTTGGTAAGGAAACTTTACTTTGCAAGGATAAAATGTAAAATGGGTGAGTTTAATTCATGAAATTATACTCTTTTCTGTAGTTATTTTCGTCAATAATCCTAGTAATTTGCATGAACGTTTGGTTAAAACACAATATGTTATGGTATTAAATGACACAGGCCAAACTGTAATTGTAGTCTCCTTCAATTGTTTAATGATAAGTATAAAATATGTGAATATTTGATATTTGTTCTCTGATTTAAACATAATGTGTTTGACAGTCCAATCTTCGCAGAGATAGTTCCAGATAAATCTCGAACCAGCATATATGCTTTGGATAGTTCATTCGAGTCCGTTCTAGCTTCATTTGCTCCTCCTTTAGTTGGGATTTTGGCTCAGCACATTTATGGTTATAAAATTCCAAAAGCATCATTAGACACTGTCAAAGTTGAAACAGATAGAGAAAATGCTGCATCACTCGCCAAGGCACTACAAACTGCAATTAGCATTCCAATGGCAGTTTGTTCCTTCACTTATTCCTTTCTGTACTGCACTTACCCAAGAGACCGAGATCGAGCAAAGATGAATGCTTTGATAGATTCAGAACTGCAGCAACTGGAGGCAGTTATATCTGGTTCAGGACAAATGTACTCACAACTAGATGATTCAAAATCACAAGCCTTTAATGGAGTGAAAAGAAGTGAGATTGAATTAGAGTTTGAGAAGGATGAGATTATTGATGTAGATGATAACGATAAGAAGGCTCTACTTTCTCATCAACAAACCTTCTCAATTTTAGGAAACAGATAAACTTGTCATGCAGAACTATCCCTCTCATATGAATGTTTACAATGAAGGATGCTTGCATTGACATAAAACCTTTTTTTTTTTTTTTAACTCTAAATCTGAGGGCTACATATTTTCAGACATGAGTAAATCCACTTGTTTTGAATTTTTTTGAGTATCTCACTTTTTTAGATATTAGATTAATCTTGTTTGAGGATTGTGGGTACCTCTACTCAGAAATATTTTTTCTATAAACATATTTTTTGAACTCAAGCATATATTATTTTATACCACTCTTTATGTATGAGTAATTCCATTTTTATTGTTGATCAACTTGTATGTTTGTGCTCATCTTTTAAGACTGGATTAGTGATCAAACCGGTACGAGGCTGGTCACCAGTTGGGGGCCTACCTAGTTAAATTCAATTAATTCTTTTGTGAAATTTTTTTGAAAAAGAAGATATATATAAAAAAAAACATTAGCTCTCTATCTGATTCAGAAATGGATCATATTACCTACGGATTGGGTTAGTAGTACACAAAAACAACACAAGAACCACATAACCATTGCAATTTAGACCCATACCATAGGGATGAAAGGTACTATAATATATTTATGGTACTCGTTTAAATCTCATATCGTATATAGGTTCACTCTGGAAACCATAGTAATATATGGTCTAAGCTGACTAATTAATAAAATTGATATTTTAGTAGATTTTATTACTTTGAACTAAGTTTAGGCTTAAGTGCTTGATTATGCTTAGGATAAAAATGCAAAAATCACAGCTTCACTTAGCTCTCCAACCTAAATTTTCAGGTCTTTCTAATTGTATTTGCACCAATTTAGCATTAATTTTTTCATTTCCTATTAGTTCTTCCAAAATACATTTTACATTCCACAAAGAATTCATGTTCATAAATAACAATTTGTGAATTGATATTATAGAAAGTATACAGTAGCCAAATTAAAACAACGATGGGGTGGTGGCGCAGTTGGCTAGCGCGTAGGTCTCATAGCTAACAGTTAGAGTTATCCTGAGGTCGAGAGTTCGAGCCTCTCTCACCCCAATATGATTTTTTTTTTTTTTAATTTTTAGCCCTTTATTGTAGATAAGACTCTATGAACCCCACGTCAAGGAACAAAAAGTATGATCTTCATTCATTTCTCAACGCCCACACCTATTTCACAGTGCTTCTGCTTTATGTGAATACCAGGTACTTTTCCTTTTAAAGCTCATCATCATATTTTCCTTTTGCTTTGATCATTAACTTTTCATTTTTGCATATTATGGACATTAAAGGCAGGCAGCAAGTTAGTATAGCATAGTGGACCCATATCTTTTAATTGTAATTTCGGCATCCCTCACACCAAATTGAAAAATTTTAATGGGTTCGAACACTTAATTGCAAAAGTTTTACATTGAAACACTGGGATAGAACTTTTTGAAAAATTCAGACACTAAATTTATAATTATTCCAAACAAAATTAACATATCAACATCTAATCTTCCAATAAAACTTATTTAATCAAATGTTTGATTAATTTTAAAAACAATTTAATACAATTCATTTAATTTTTACCAATATTAACATAAGGATATATTAGAAAAAAATGAAATAAAAATTATAATTTCACCATATTAATTAAATTTTATTAATCCATATGTAAATCAAATTAAAACATAAATTACGGGACAAAGGGGTATTATAAAGACTAAGTGTATGTGTGGTTTCTTGGGCCATTTAGGGTTAAAAATGCTAAAATGAATAAAAATAGTCAAGGTAAACCTTTTTAGCAGAGTATATTTTCAAACGTTAATCATAAAAAATTGTGATCCACAATTCAATTTGGAGACTAAGCCAAAAAGAGATATTTTCGTTACAAGTTCCTTAATATTGACAAGGATAACTTGTTTTCAATGAGACAAAGAAGATAAAACTTATAATAGAAAACAAAACTCACATGGGATGTCAATAATACAAAAATAAAAGAAAATTATCCATAGTGAAAATTCAATTAAAATTTCAACTTGTCAATATATATATATATTTTAAAAAATCTCTTTAATTCCTCAACAACGTTTGATAAATGATAGATGCTAAAAAACGTTCATCATCGAGCAAAATAAGTTTATTGTTCTTTCTTAGTGTTTGAATTTCAATTAACAGTACCCAGTTTTATATTTTTTTATGAAAAATTTCGTGACACTTCAGATTTTGTGAGATTTCATTATATTCATAAAACTATAAAATTTTATAATATTATACATTTATTTATACGATCAACAAAATGATAATCTGATTGGTAAGAAAGAAAGTTTCTTATAATTATCAATTAAAGTTTAATTTCACTAGAAAGATTCCAAAAACATTAGAAATAATATTTCTAACTACATTAAACTGATATAGAAAAGTGTGTTTAAAAATTTTTTGGTGAGGGAATTTAATCTCAATGCATATAATTAAATTAAACTTGAAAATACATATGACCATAAGTAAAAGAGAAAAACAACCTCATTTATATATAGTTTTACCATATTATGTCCACCTCTTTGGTTTGGTTAATTACAAAACAATTTAGGTCAGAAAAATAAAAATTATATTATCCAAATTATTAAACCTGGTTAATAAAGTAAATAGCATATTTTCTTCTTTTTATTTTTATCTGTCATTTAAGGCTTTTACACTGTATTTAAAAAAACACTTAAATTACTTAAATTATGCATACCTTTTAATTTGACTAATTTTTAATCTCACCTAATTACTTTAATCTCGACAATTCTCTCTCTATTAATTGGCCACTAAAATTAAAAGAGAGAAAAAGAAAAGTGATGAGATGAGTTTTAGAAAATTTTAAAAAATAGATGTATTGGCGTGTAATGTCGAGTTGACTTGCCTGAACTCAACTTAAGTTTGAATTGGTAAGGGATTTTATTTATTTGTATGTCCGACCTATTTAACCGCAATTTGGATCACATTTAGTACGGTGTCAAAAAGGATTATTTCATATCAATATGATTCGTCAAAATATATAAAATTAGTAAACCAGGGTTGATAAACGATACTGTAAATAGATCGTCTATGATATGAGTTAAAACAAATAATTTAATGAATCTATTAGCAAATTTATCACAATTCATTTAATTAAGCGTGTCCAATATGACCTATCACATTATGATGTGATATGCTAAAAAATTTAGAATAAAATAGTTATTTAGGCATATAATATATCCAAGGCCGGTCCAGCCGGAGCCGCCGCGCCACCTGCCTCAGCCGCTGCCTCAGCTCGGTAGTGAGCCGCAGTCTTGTGCGTCTTCCGCTCCTAGATTAAGTTACAGAGAATAATGGCATCAGTGGTTTGAAACAGCGAGAATAGTGACAATAGTAAATAAGCAGAAGATTAGATGAGTTACCTGGGTGTACTCGAGGACCTCGGGAAGCCAGGCCTGCATCCGGGAGGCGAAGTAAGAGAAGCAAAGTAAGAAGGGAAGTCACCGGCGGACAGGAAATCGTTCGCCGAGAAGCCTCTGTACTCTATCTCCAAGTCCTCCCGGGTCAAACCCTCCAGCAACACATATGTCGAGGAGGGGCATGAGGCACCCTCCGCCGTGCTGGAGCTATTGGAGTGTCAAAGACTCTCTCTTCGAGAAAGTACCGGTCAGCCCAATACCCGCGCATCAGTAGCCTCGACCGGGTGTGCAACTCAGCCACCTCCTGGCCCTGGTAGGTCCTCCAGGCCTCGCAGTCCCATGGAGTCAAGGACAACTACAAAATAAGAAATCAGTATCTGTTGTGCATTGAAAAAAAAAAAATGAAAATAGAAAAATCACCACTACATTTACCCCCCCCCCCCCCCCCTCACATCAGACAGCTCCCGATCATTAAGGGAAGCTCCGCCAGTACTCCGAGGTCCTCGCCACTTGGCATAAGTTGTGGGGCAATGGGCCAGATAGCGAAGGAATCCTCCTTGGACTCCGAACGGGAAGAGTCGTCGCTTGGACCGCCCGGGTAGTAGATACAGTACTCATAGGACCATTACCTGCAGCAGAGAAGGAATGGACATCAGTGGTTGGACGGTTTGTTAATAAACGGAATAAAAAGTGAAGAGTGAAAGAATTTTACCCTCCAGGAGGTCGGTATGAAAGCTAGTTCGCTCACCGCTACACGGGTCCACGACACCAGACCGTGATTAGAGATGAGCCAAACCGAGTGTGCCCAAGTCGAAGGACCCAACCTGGCTTAGATCCCGAAGGACCATGCTAGCACCGCGGATCTCCCTTTATTCTGTGGAGGCGCATAGCAGGCTGAGACCGAGATAATGTTAGAATAAAGAAGGACCGAGCGGGGCTGGTCCCCTCTCCCCCGAGTATATGCAGAACAGCAGGTTCGGGCCTCCTTCCGGCAACTCCTCCAAGCCTCCAAGCGGGTCCTGTCCTCTCGGCCTAGAACCGAAAGACCGTCCGAAGACATTGCACCCTTGTACGGTTGTTGTAAACCGAGTCTGCCGTAGTGACACCGAGCAAGACAAGGAATCGGGACTACTGCGGCCCCGGAAGAGTGGCCGTCTGATACCGAGCATCCGGTGGGGAAACCGGGGCCAGTGAAGCGCAGGCCGGTAATCGCCAGCATAGTCCACGGGTGTGAGAGTCATCTCGCCGAACCCGAATACGAGTATGTGTACAATCGTTCCACCGGCTCCATCATATGCATATCGCATAGCGGGTGGGAAACGAGGCTGGGTGCGATCAATCCTTGCGGCGTAAGTCCCCAAATCCCGAGCAAGCAACGACCCGAGCTCGCCATTAGGAGGGTCCAGTAATTCCAGAAAGCCAGAAAGCATCAGTAAGCCGATCCACCCGAGCGGCCTTTTGCCCAGATTAACCTGTAAGGAAAAATTAACCTGTAAGAAAAATTTTTCAATTTCAATAAATACGATACTAACAATTATTTACCTTCTTATATGGCAGGAAAATGAATAAAACCAAAATTCAATTTGAACCGTAGCTGCGTCACGCAACAACAAAGTCGCGTCACGCGTCTACAGAGTCGCGTCATGCAGCTTTGCCCAAATTGCGCACTCAGAAGTACAGCTGCGCAGCGCACCTCAGCATTCGCGCCACGCCACTCCACAGTTGCATCTCGCGACCACAAAGTCGCGCCACGCATCTTGGTAGCTGCGTCACGCAACTATTCAAGACTCTCCCTCGTCGACGAACAGTCGCTCACGCAACCTGTCTTCTTCGGAAGAATAGTGGTGACGCAACTTGT